ATACTTAAGGGATGTTTTTCTTGCGTCGAGATATCTGCCGGCATACGTGATTTATTTCAAGCCTCAAACCGTATAAATTCAGGTAATACATCATAAGCGTGCAGTCAACAATATGATCTGAAAATAAGAGATGGACTTAGGGACAAAAATAATTTGTGGAAAACTATGAAAACTAGAAGGAGCTATCGATGGATAGTTATCCTTCACATGCCAACTTCTTTAATTGTCAATTTTCTTAGCTTGATGGTACTTTGTATAGATGGGTATAATAAAAAAATAGAAAAATATTTTTGATATCGAATTCGTATGGGCACATCTAAAATTAGTACTAGCCGATGATGATACAAAAATATTGCCTTAATCAAGTGATGAAGTAGGTTACTTTTGAAAAACATAATATCGTATTATATTTAAGATATTTAAAATATTTAAAATATATACAAATTATTTAAACTGATCAAAGTGTGGTAAATTTATGCATTAACAATTTATAATAAATTTAAAAACAGTATTACTATGATTTATGTATTATATTTAAATATAAATCGATAACAAATAATCTATAATGAAATGAATAATCTATAATGAAAAATGAAAATTTTTGCATATCCATTCCTTAGAAAAAAAAGGTGTTTGCATGTGTGTTTGGAAACAATTTTTTGTACACGATTCCGAGAGCTCGAATGAACCGAATTAAATGATTTAAAAGGTTATGTGGTTTTGAAAAACTAATGAATTATTTTTAGAAAAATATGCGCAATAAATTATCAGATATTTTATAGAGACTTTAATTTAATAGACGCGCGCTTCTATGTTTCTTCTCTAAAACAGATATTTACATTATTTTTTTCTAAATTTTCAAAAAAAAACTAGTTTTATTCTTATTTTAAACAGCAGTCAAACTTACTAGCTTTAAACTATGAGCTTTTCTGTCAACTTTTTACCAATATCGCTTTTTCTGACAACTATGACTTCTATGAGCTTTTCTGACAACTTTTTACAAATATCGCTTTTTACAAGGCAACCTTTGGCAAGGGTCTAATTAATTTTTGTATGTTTTTATTAATAGAATTCTATTATTATTAATAATGTTAGTTATTCATAATAAAAAATAAAAAATATCACTGTTCTGAGAAAAAAGACATGACCATTTAGTGTAGATATAAAAAAGTAAAGATTATCACTAAAATAGCTATTGAAATTTATTCGCAGCAATGCCAGGCAAAGCATTGTGTATATTTTAAAAATGTTATTCAAATAGTAAAAATATACTTTGATATTAATCTAGACATACAATTTTTTTTTAATAATTCTATATAATATAAATCAGTTCTTGACAAAACTTTTTGTACTTCATTGATTGTAGCATCTTATTTAAAAAGTTTCTCATTCCTAGAACATTATTTTAGTGGTTCCAATGATTACTACTTTAGTTTATTTATTTAATATTAAAATAACTCGAATTAATAAATGAAAATCTTAGACACTATTGAATGTTGTATATTATTATATGTTGTTTAGGTACTTGCAATATCTTTTATTCTCGATAAGCAAAATTAATTCATTTACTACTGATTTGGCCCTGTTAGAATATCGAGTGTGTTGCTAAAAGTAACTGATGTATACAAAAACACCTCACTTTCGGCAAGTATACGTCAGCATCGATCATTGATTACATTCTACGAACGTTATGATTAACATTGGGGTAGCAAAGTTTTTGTAATAACCGCCCTTTATCTATATTAATATTCTTGCATAGGCAAAAACCTGAATAAGTAATCAAATGATTATGAGTTTAAGAACTTGGTGATGAGCTATTGTAATAGTCACATAAAATTATAGTAACGAAATTCTAAATCTTTTCCAGGGTACATTGTGCTGCTGAAATTGGATAAAAATGTTAAATAAAATTGTAATTAGTTTGATGGATAATTGCATAAATTTTAAAGTTTTACACGTACTTTTCAAGTATTTAATATACCTACATCTAAACAGTTTTCTTATTTCTTACTTTGCATAATGCATTTTCAGAAAATGTGGCATATGTCGTCTACATGCTATCTATTTGAGATGTCAATACAATTCTTGTTTTGTATTTTTTATGTCTTATAGAAAATATTGCAATACTAGCAACACTGTTGAAATACAAAACATGTCGTTTGCAAACCAGGAAAGTGAGCTAGTCATAAAAAGTCAAAAGTACTCAAATGAGAGTAGATATTCTCATAACTATTTGAATAAAATTATTAATCAAAATCTAAATTAAAAAATATGAAAATTTTGTGTTCGAATTTAGGATCACTACCGTACACTTTGGTCGTTAGTTAGGTGCAGGATTTGTGATGATTATTTTTTATTTAATTTATTTATTTTGGAGAGTTATATTTATTTATTGCTAATATATCGAATGATTGTTATTTATATTTTTTTCATATTCAGTCGTATATAATCTTTTTACTTATATAATTGTTTCTATTAAGAAGATATTATTTGTTAGAGTAATATCTGATGCTTATTCTCAATTATATATTATTTTATTCATATTAAAGAGCAACAAGTTTTGAACTTCTTTCAATACGTACAGAATTATTTATAAAGATCAATAAACATATATCTTGAACTTTCATCGATGTTTTTTAGAAATGCAAATATTAATTTGGCCTAATGGCGACCTTTATCAATGTAATATTGATTTTGATATGACGTATCCGTAATTGAATGTCATACCAATATATAATTTCAATGTTAAATGTTTATCTAAATCATCTTATTCTATGATCACATAATGTCATAGCATTTAATACATTTACGAACATCAAACAGATAAATTGGTATTTGCATTTAAATGTACGATACTGAGAACTTGCAAATGTTTCATCAAATATCAATCAGAAGCAATATCTACTAATGTGTATTAAAACATAATTTAATATTACAAGTTCTGTTGGTGTATTAATCGACAATGTTAATTAAATTTTACATATGATTAATTATAGGAGAAATGTTAACTAATATATTAAATATAAAACAAGAATATCGATATGCTAATAATAAATTGCTGGTGTTGGGAAAAGTATTTAAGGAATTTTAGGCAGTAGACTAATTATGTTTGTTTGTGAAGAAATATTATTTTGATATACAAATTATTTCTTTTATTTTTTTATTTAAATACAAATTATAATAAAATTTATGAATTTATTTGTTCTGACATTTAAAGGTCTTGATCCTATGAGGAGATACCAGTGTAGGTAGAAATAACAATTTAAAATCAATACTTTTAAGTCAAAATTATATCTTTAAGTTATGTTTATGTAACATTGTTAGTTATCATTTATTTAAATTATTGAATTTCCAAATCAAATTATTTTTCGTATTTTGTCACCTAAAGCTAATATTTATATAAATTGGCTTGCAATCATTTGCGTTGAGCACCTGATTGCTTCTCTGATGTGAAAAATCATTAATGCTTAATTAAATGAAAACTGAATTTATTCGGAAAATTATGTATTAATCGACGACAAATTTGATCTCGTTGTTCGAGAGCAAACAATGGTCCATTCGCTTGTTTGCACTTTGGCGTCCTGATTGGATTCAATGCGAGTTCAGTTTGAGCTATTCGGTGTATACCAATTGCATCTGAATTTGTTATCTTCGATGAATATATTGTAACTTTATCTATGGATCCGATGCATTCGATTTTGATTCAATTTGATGATAATGTTTAATGATTAAATTCTGTCTTATCTTAATTTTAACGTGGTTGAAATGTATGTATACGTCCATGTATCTATGAGGTATAAAATATATACGATTTGTTTTTAAATCATAAAATCCTTGTATAGTTCATTACATCACACTTGAGTATTAAATAGCTTTTTGATTAGTATTTTTACAACGTTGTTATTCTTTCTCCTAATTACTCATTCCAAAACATGTATTTAAGGTGACCATAAGTTCCCCGGTTTGGCCGGGATAGTCCCGAATTTTCACCTCGTGTCCCGGTTACCTCGTGTCTATATGTAATATTTGTCGCGAATTTAGATTTTTTGTTCCGGATTGTTCCGGTTTTTTGAAAGTTATTAGGTAAATTACCAAAACTTATGAAAATTCTTTTCCAAATTAATTATGAAGAAAGTGAAATAGTATTCTATACAAGGCTCAAAGGCGAAAAGTATAAGATAAAATCTGTTTTTTTATTGTATCCTTAAATAGCGAATTAGCATATCTCAAAATTACTTCAACCTTATATTTATTATAATAACAATTAATTAGTTACAATATTTTGTAAATAAAAACTGTTCGTTGTTCTTTTTAAGTATAAGGTTTTGCCATCTATCCCTTGAATAGATTCAACAATTTTAACTTTAACATGTGGTTCACCCGGTTGATTTTGAATATCTAAGATCTTTTCTATTCAAATACAATATACATTTTAGTTTACTATTAGTTTTTATCACATATTTTAATAACGGTCAATTTAAACTTGTAAGTAATAAATTATACTCAATTTTATTGCATTTGCACAGCATAATGTGTCGTAAAATAACGAAGTAAAATAAAGGTATTTTGAGTGCACTGTTTTATATTATATTATATTAGTTCTTTCTGAAAATTAGCAATATTTTGATATGCTCATAATATATGCTTTTTAAGTGAATGCAATTTATATATACTAAACTGTTTTTATTCATATATTTTCTTGTATAATGTGCGTATTTTTTAAATACACAGACCACAATTGAATTATTTTTATTGTAATAATTTATATTTATTTATACATGTATTTAAAATAGTCGCCGTATTTGTACTAGTTTTATTTAATGCTCGACACAGAAAATTGTTGTTCACAATCAGCTAGGCGTATATAACGTTTTAAACAAATACTATTTTGTTGTTTGAATTTTTATGAATTTATTATTAAAATTTCAATATATTGTAAATGCCCGAAATATTGATTATATATATATATATATATATATATATATATATATACATATTATTTATTTTAGATATGCATCCTTGCCACATGAATACATTATGTTCAATTTTTCTATATCTGCGTCGCTCAGGCTATTTCTTTGGCCGATCCTTGCAAGCGGAACCTAAAGACAACATAAAAATTCAAATAAAAACAATTTTGAAATATCTTAATTTAGGTAATTAATAAAATAGAAAAGTTCTAATTTAGTTTTTGTATTATGAATATTAATGCTTGAAATACTGATTTATGAAAAAATTACTAAAAATAATCAAAATATTTATGACTAACTTTTGGTACAATGGTCATTTTTCCATTCCTTGAAAATGCATACGGTCCATAGTGCATTACACTTTCATAGTCGTACTTAACTCCATGTGATGTAACAATGCGTGAGTTGTAGCGATTAAAATTGTGTTCCAAACCTGATAATTGAATAAAATTATTAGTATCGAACATTCTTGCTGTACAAACTATGTTCTAGCACTATATAGAATTGCTAAATATTGAATATTGTTTCAAACCATTAATTATAATGAGGCAAAAAAATAAACCACGTGATATGCTTTGATGAGTTCTCATGGTTAATAAAAATGCATTTGCAATAACTCTTTCCACTCGCTAATTCTGAGATTTATATGCCGGAGTGGCGGCATTCGAGTGGAGTGGTAATATACAGTCCAACAAAATCATAATTTATATAGGACCACAACACCAAATTCCACTATAATACAGTAATCTTAATGCAATTACTAACTTTAAATTTTTTCCTTTAGTAAATGATACATTTAGAACAATTTTTCCTTCAATATTACATAAATATGTATTTTGTAACAAAAATTTCATCGTTTTCAATAGTGCATTCTTGTTGTGCAAGAAAGATAGTTTAAAATCAGATCAAGCACGCCTTTTCGCTTCACTGAGTTAATCACAGGCACCGCAAAATGCAGTTAGAAAAATTATTCAAAACGATTCTTATGCAAGATGACAGTAGTTTTGAAATCAAAATTAAGTATGTAACTCACACATTTAGTTTGTAAAATACTTTTTACAAAATGCAAAAATTTCCTTATAATCTTAAGTGCATTTGATTTCCTAAACTATTATTTTAGTTTCCAATAGTTTATTTAGTTTGTTATCCTTTTCACATTAAATTTGAAAGTAAATTTATCTATTAAATTATATTATTATTAATTACTAGAACAATTTGCATCTTCACGTAATGCAAATCATTTTCGACTTCAAACAATTACTTGCACACTTGATAATTAAAGAAATTTGCAGAACTCAAATTAGCAAAATATTTGTCACAATTAAATAAAATCACTTTATTTATTTTCCTATTTATTAGCAAACTGTTACTAGTATATTATACTGTGAAATTTTCTGTCTTTGTGTAACAATGCCAATACTATTTTATCTTTGTTGTACTTTTCCTGAAGAAAATATACGCTTGTACTTTGTAACAATGTTATGTATATCATGTACAATATTTCCATAACTTCTGTAAAACAGTTGTCATATTGGTACAAACTGCAAAAATTTCATTTGAAATGCTTACTGCCAAATGATATTATAATACTGTTTGCAAATGTTACTCTGACAGTTCTATGAGTAATGAATTCTTTTCTTCAACCTTCCAGGAAAAGTTTTTCACGGACTATTTCTAATAGAAATTATGCTATTCAGTTAACTCATTTTTTTAGATACAAACTTCTACTACAACTTCTACTAATGGTTACATGCTGAATATTGAAAATTCTGACAGATAAATATAATTTTGAAAACAGTGATAATCAAAATTGAAGTAAACTATTTATTAACATTTATGACAAATTTTAAAAATTAAAATAATTCTAACTAATAAAATACATAATTGCAATTGTGTATAGTGAAGGTATAGAAAGGTACAGAAAATTACCAAGTACAATTGATCAAAATTATTCTTTTTATCCTTTCGTAGATATGGGAGATTTTACTTATATTTTGGGATATCTCAAACTGTATGAAATAAATCTAAATACCCTAAATTTAGATAAATAGCTTGTTTTCTAATAAAAAAAATTAAATGTACTAATAATTTGTATTCTGTGTAATACACTGAAAACATACACTTAAAACTGTATGAAATATTGCAAGACTCATGTTTATTACACATTAATTTTAAACTGAATTGATTTTCTTTTAACTTCATGTCTTAGGGTAGGTTATGGTAATTGCGGTAATATACGAAAATTTTTGCAAATATAAATGCAAAATTTGAAATCTTTACGTTTCGAAGGTTTTTGAACATTTTGGCATACTTGAAAAATGGATGCATGTGTGCAGAATGTATGTACAAGCAGTATGTATGTACAAACTATTGATTTAACAAAATCAAATTTTTCAAAAAAAATTAAAGCATTTAAATTAAAGCACGATTATATGCAGCACTAGTTTACATTACTTTTGGTCACAACTATGAAATTCGGAAAAACTTATAAATAAATCTATGAGAAAAGTGAATTTAGATGTTAGATCTCAATCCGGTGGTTTTCGCAATATTCGGCTTATGTATCATTCACAACCGCTAATTCGTATTAAAACTAGTGGGTGTATAGCATCGTGCCTTAAGGCAAATTGCTGGAACTTCCCGTACCGTAACGAATTGTTCGAGGAATACTGAATGTTTTCAAATAGATTATTATTAATATTGTAACATTGTCTAATATTTATAAAAATTATATAAACTGAATTGCAAAGCTGAAATTATTTATTTAAAGTATATTAGAATTATTGTCAGAATTAAAAATACAAAATTTACGATACAAAATTTACAATATAAAACAATTTTTTTTGAAAAAAAAAAAGTTGAAACAATTTTTTTTTCCAAAATCAATTATTTTGTTAAGACAAGCAGAGAGTTCTTTGAATCATTTAAATCGGACGCTTAGTTATCTCAAAAACTGCCATTTCTTACATATTTAGCTCCGTATCTTTGAAATGGCTGGGCCTGCCTTTGCCAAAAACTAATCAATATTTCTCCCAATCATTACTAATTCAATGTTTTTTAGATTATTCAAATCGGATACTCCGTTCTCTCAAAAGGTCGATTTTATTTTCTTCACTCTTAGCTCCGTATCTCCAAAACAGCTGGACCTGCCTTTGCCAAAAACTAATCAGCTCTTCTCCCTATCAATGGAATCGAATGTTCTTTGAATCATTCAAATCGGTTGATCCGTGCGCCCGAAAACGTGACTGGATATTTGTATCCATACATACATACACACACACATCTATTTTTTCTGAGGTATGCCAAAATGTTCAAAAACCTTCAAAACGTCGAGAAATTTAAAAATTTTCAATTTCGATTTTCGGCCCATTACAATAACTTACCCTAAGGGAAGTTAATAATTAATTTCTACTTCTATTGTTTATTTATAATTTCTGACCTGGTATGATGTTATCCCATTTGATTGTTACATATTTGTCTCGATCGTGAGCAGATTGCATGTGGTAGAATCCGAGTGCGTGTAGAAATTCATGTTGAATCGTAGCACGGCGGAAACAGCCTACGCCCAAGGCGTGCGGTGCCAGGTTCAGCGTTTGGGCTCCGCCGCGCTGGAAACCCACCATGGCGTAACAGCCGTTCCTACGACCCTAGGAGGAGGATACTGATTATATCTTATTATCCTTTGTGAATATATAAACACACTTTTCTTATTCTTTTCTTAATTAAAATTGTATTTATTAAATTAATAGACTCAATACGAAATTATATCGTCACAAGGAACTCTGGTGTTAATCGGTAAATACTGTATTATAATGGGTGTACTGCCCTAGGGCAGGTCCGTGAGCTGAGTTAAAACTCCAACTCGATTCAGGGAAGAATAGTGTGAGACATTTCCCATTGCCATTTCACACCGCAGTGCCCGTATTATTGTACTATATATAACAATTTATGAAGCTCGGAATAACCGCTATTTCAGAAATTATAAATTGAAATTAAATTGATTTATGTATAGTTGTCTGCCAAATAGAATAATCCAAACGGGCAACGAGGATATACTTTGGCTCACTGCCGCATGCAGTTTGTTGAACAATCAATATATTTTTATAAATTTTCATAAAAATAATAAAACTAGTGGGGCGCATGGCATCGTGCCTTAAGGCAAATTGCTGGAACTTCCCGTTCCATTTTTCTTTAAATTAACATTGTTGAAAAAAATTAGATCAGCTATAAATTTTTGACAGAAATTTTTTTTTTTTAAAAAAAAAGGCTTTTAAAAAATGTTCTCTTTATTTTGAAGTATTTTGGAAATTCTGAACTTTTTTGCAATGCAATCGTACTTTACTTTAACTGTATGACTGTAACTGAGACGAATTATAGAAGCGCGTAAGCGCCGCGTTGTCGTCTAACAGATAAACATTGGAACCCATAGGAATATAAACAAAATTTATACTAATTGTTAAAATCGCTATAAAATATCTGATGACAAAATTTGTTGTGCATATGTCTAATGATCATTTTTGACCGCCAAATGGCATTTTTTTTACTTTTCACTAGATCTCCAAAACCGATAAACCTGCTTTTATAAAAATACGACCAATGCTTCATCTTGTCAATACAGGTAAAATGTTTTTTTGAATTATTAAAATCGGACGCTTCATTCTCTTAAAAACTAAGTTATCATTTATAGCACTTCTTGCCCCGTATATTCGAAACGGCGAGATCTGCCTATGCCAAAAACTAATCATCACGTTTTTTGAATAATTGAAATCGGTTGAACCGTGTTCCCGAAATTTGTATCAGCTCACACACACACGCACACACACATATACATCAATTTTTTCTAACATGTTCAAAAACCTGTGAAACGTAAAGATATATAAAAAAATTTCTTTTCGATTTTTTTACGATTACTATAACTTACCCTATGGGAAGTTAATAAAGCAATTTACTTCACTAACGAACTAAATGAAGAAAAAGTAAAAAATGTCTTTGATTGCGTTAATTCCGATATAAGGTTGGTATTGGGATTTTATTTTATATAACTAAATAACTTTATTTTGTAATGCATTGTCATTGATGCCGTTTTAATGGCACCTTTAATTAATGATGTTATATCATCATTCAAACAACATAAATTCGTAAATCATCTACTTTTTATTAGCAAAAAGCTGAATCAGGTAGAATTTGATACCATCATAATTATTAAATTATTCAAGGAGTTTTGTAAATATCGGAACAAAATGTAATCACAAGGTGCAAGGTTGAGACTATATGTTTAATGTGACCTAACCCAGAGCTCCAATAATTTGCTTAGTGATTACAAAAATGGAATAAATCACTGTTATGTTCAGATTTGTCAACTCAACCCGCTTTTCTTCGACTGCGATGTTTATTTTCGTTTATTGCTTGGTGTAGACACCAGAATTGAACGTACGGTTGAATAGTAAAAGTAAGAATAGTCAATTCCTTTGTAATCAACTACAACTGGACAACTAAAGTGTGTTTTAATCTTTGAGTCAAAAATGACGTACAGAACGAAATTTGGCAACCTAATTTTGACACTGCCGTTTTTTAAGCCTTCGTCACCATAAACAGTTTATAACTTTATGTTACCTTAAGATGCTTTTTTATTATTGCTGGTTTGGGAAATTATAACAAAAAAATGACGTGATTTTACATGTTTTGACGAATACCAAACAAAAACTAAGCAATTGATCAAATAACTCTTTGTACTGATCGACAGCTGAATTGCCTACTATCCAACCATCTAAGAATGAAAGCCGCTTAATTATTTATCAACCTAATATATTAAAATATTATTACCGTAACTCTAACATAATGCCTGTCTCCTTTCATCCTGGGTCTGACGGTGACGCAAGAAATGTCGGCGAATTCACGCAAAGCCGAATGTATGTACTCTTCTTGTTCCTCGCCTTGAACATACATTTGGAATAAATTAATAAATATGTGATAATGAATGCAATATAAAATGCATTAAGTGCTATTAGATAATTGTTCATTACTCTATTTACGAGTTAAAAGAGAGAGCTTTTGACTGACAGTTGTAATAAAGTCATAAACTTGGAAGGGTAATAACTCCTTGTTAGAATATATTTAAATAACTAAAATATAATTGTGTGAACAATTTATTCTGCGTATAGCATTAGTGTTTTTATTTGTTTCGAAAATCAGATAAGTGCACTAACTAAAATAGTTATCGACAATTTCGTAAGGAAGCACTTTTTTCGGCCACTTGTATCTTGATTGTCGAAGACCATTTCTTGTCTCAATTCCCATTGCAAATCTCAATTGATCTTTATCGAGTATCATATCTCCTTCGAATTTGTTTCCAAGGGACTCCCAAATACTGGCATCGTCGGCGTTAGCTGGTATCACAGGAACTACAGAAAATAAAATTTATATGGGTTAAATTTGACACTTTTGATAGTTCAGAGAATAAATAATGAGAATTTAAAAAATAAAAAAAAATTATTTACTTAGAACATTGAAGTCACCTAATTAACACGATAATAAAAAAAAAATTCACATGGACCGTGGTAACTTCATTATATAATTTAGTTGAAAATATAATAGGAAAACTTAATGTACACAAAAAATCTTTTTTGTCTAAATTTTTGAAAAAAAAAAACTATTTTTGATGTCACAGATATATAAATGACAATATAGCTCTTTATTAAACCTTTTTGCCAACAAAATTTTTATAACCATTTTTATTTTATTAACTTTCCGTAGGGCAAGTTATAGTAATCGCAAAAAAATAGAAAATGAGAATTTTTATATATCTTTAAAACGTTCTGAACATTTTGGCATACCTTAGAAAAAATGGATGTATGTGTGTGTATGTGCGTGTATGTGCGTGTGTGCGGATACAAATTTTCGTCGACACTTTCGGGAACACGGATGAAGCGATTTGAATAATTCAAAAAACATTCGATTCGTATTGATAAGGAGACGAGTTTTTGGCGAAGGCAGGTCTAGCCGTTCCGAAGATATGGAGCAAGAAGTTTCAAAAACGGTAACTCAGTTTTTAAGAGAACGGAGCGTTCGATTTGAATAATTCAAATCTAAATAATAGTAATTTAAAATTTAAATAATAATTTGAAAAAAAAAATTTACTTTACCTTCGATATTTCGTCTCTGTCCAGTTAAAGCAGTACGATTGCTTTGAAAAAAAGTTCAGAATTTCCAAAATATTTCAAAATAAATTTTTCTTCAGAAAGTCTTTTTTCAAAAAAAGTAAATCATAATTCTAATTTTTTCAGAGTAATTTTTTTTCAAAAATGTTAATCTTTTGAAAAAAATTTTTTTTTGGTAGGGAAAGTTCCAGCAATTTGCCTTAAGGCACGATGCCATGCGTCCCATTAGTTTTATTGTTTGTAGTAAGCCAAGAAATTTTCAGGCTTTGCTCCTGATATGCCAAGCTTTCGAAATATACATCAAATGTATGGACGCATCGGAAAGTGCAATGTCACACAAAATTTTTATTTATCTGTTTCTTTGGAAACTTATTTAGTAATAAATATCATTGATTTAAATATTGTTCCCATAAGTTCTGATCGCTGTTCAAATAAATTAAAAAAAAAAATATATATATTGTCCAATTTTGAAGAATAGAATTTTCTATAATGGAAAAAAGTTAATTAATTTTACTTGTCTATTTCCGTCGTTTCACGAAAGTGACAACTGTCACTAATTATCTTACAGTTCAATAAACGTTGTTTGTTTATTTATATACGGTTCTTACAATTATTATCAATCATCTGTCAACTGTAAATAATTACAGTTTTCCATAAGTTCCCTACAAAGGAAAGTGACTTCATTCAAACACTTGAAGAATGCTGGTCTGTACACACTTCCTTATGATTGAATAATGAATGAATAATGATATGTTGCACTCGATACAATTATTATGCATGTTTTCTTTTGTAATATTATTTATATTAGCCTTGCACAATACTTTTTTGCACGTAACTACGTTTATTAATAGTTGATAAATTAATACAAATGTTTCTATATCACGTGTTTTAACGCCTGTCTGGGTTAAGGAGGTGTTGTTAAATTTGAACAGCTGGTAAATTAATTGCTGTAATAGATTAAAATGATAATTAGTTTTGTATTTAAATTAAGATTTTTTTGCAATTCTGTTTTCTACATTTTGGCGGGTCTCATTTCATACAAGTAATAAATGAAGTTATTTTTCGGTTCTATGAAATGTTAAATACATTTCATATAAATTTAATTTATATAAAAAGGATTATTGTCCATCTATTACGATTTTGTAATAGTCACTTGGGCAAATGTAAATATATTACTATTTTATATTGACGAATAACAATAATTACAATACTAATTATAGCTGTTATTTTTTTATAATTTACTCATTACAAAAAAACTTCTAACTCTAATTGAAATTATGAATTAGTATTATAAAAAAATACTTTTTTCAAGGATCTATTTTTGCAAGCATCAAATAAATTTTAAACTTATAATATGGTTCACGATAAGTTTTATTACTTTTATATCTTTTTATAAGTAGTTGAGAATTAAAAGTAATAAAATATTCTGCCACAAATTACAGTACAGAGTTACCTTAATTTTATCTTAAACGTTAATCGTTTAAGTTTCATAATCAGGGCATATCGTAAAAGTGTAACCGAAAGATAATGATTTTCGAATCATTACCCATTAATTGCTATTATCACATTTTTTCCAAATGTCAGATTATATATTTTTTGCTAATCTATATATTTTAAAAACAATGAAACAATGGAATTTATATGTTAAAACACTTATATCAATTATAAAATCTTATAATACCTTTGTATGTATTGAATTCTTAGTGGGCTTTATTAGTAGGTATTAGTAAGAAAGTGGGCTTTCTTAGTAGGTATTTTTTTAAAAAATGATTTAAATATTACCTGTTGGTGCTGCTTCTCTAGCTTGATAGAATACATAAATATTTCGCAAAGGATATCCAAAACATGATTGCACTAAACTCATGTATATAAAAATGGCACTTATCACACACATTTTCTTAAAAATTATTAGATATTTTATCCTAATGATAAATAATTACTATTATATATATATATATATATATATATATATAATAAACTGATTATTTCCCAATTATTTAAAATTAGGTACTTCTAAAAAAACTATGCACTTCTTCAGTACAAAAATTTTATTGTTTTCTTATTATAGGCATTTCAAAATTAATAATAAGAAATAGTATAACAAGTTCTTGTTAATATTAATTAAAATCACTGACAATCCGAATTATTAAAAAAATAATAGGTCAAAAATTTATCAATGAAGTTATTTCTATTTATTTTTTTTGTTAAACAATATTAAATAGAAAAGACAAATTAATTAGTGAGAAAGAAATTATTATATTACTATAAAATTAACGTAAATAATCTAAGTTAAAAAATGTTATAATTTATAGGAAATCTATTATTTTAAAACACTGAACACTTTGCCAATAGAAAAACCACAACTGTTATAAATTTTACAATATCTTTCACTTTTAATATGGGTACCTCTACCGTAATAAGAATTGTGTATCAAACATATAGACGAAGAAATATATATATATATATATATATATATATATATATATATATACATATATATATATCTGCTACGTTATTTCCATTGTAAGAACTAGAACAGTTTAATTTAAGATTAACATTTTTATCATGTTTTGACATTTTCCACTAAAGGCAATTTTTTGCAAATTAAAGTTTATAGCCAGCATTTTAGAGCATTAACTCTCATTTAAAAAAAATACGGATATTTATTTTTGTTGCTTCTTCCTTGGATTCACATTTTTTTATCTGTTACAATGTTTGATCGTGGATTGATGTATGTTTATTAAAAGGTTTCGAATAGTTTGAATTTTGAAATGTAATTTAAAGTTACAAGTAACAATATTGATAATAAATTTAGATAAAAATGATAATTTAATGAGTAAAATCAAATTTTGTGAAAAATTTATAAAACTAAAGCTTGAATTTAGCTTAGTTACGCGAGCGTTTTGATAGTAAAAACATGATTTTTTTTATCATGATAATTTTTTTTGGTTTTATCTATGTTGAAAAATAATAATGAAATATTCAAACATATTTATCAACATATATATCTTATTTTTGTTGCTACTTCTTTGGATTAATATTTATTTGTTACAATGTTTGAACATGAATTAATGCATGTTCATTAAATTGTTTCGAATATATTAAATATAATTTAAAGTTACAAATAACTATAATAATAATAAATTTAGATGAAAATGATAATTTAATGAGCAAAATCAAAATAAAAATAAGATCTTTTTTATCATGATAATTTTTTTTTGGTTTTATGTATAATGAAATATTCAAAGATATCACGGGATTTTTTAACGTCTTTGCCGTTTTTTTCCTGTCAAATATTCAAAGAAATCTATCAACGGATTTTTTAACAAAGTTTTTGCCGTTTTATTTTTATGAAATATTCAAAGATATCTATCCTCGCATTTTAAACAAAGTCTAACTGCAGAAAATTTGACTTAATACTCTCATATGTACACATACTTTGCATCAATTAGCGATTGCTCACATATTCTATAATATATATGGCACTACCATTACTTCTCGATGCGGCAGGTAAATTTGAGATGTCATATTTCTAATGAAAATGTCTTACCTGTTAGTATAGCACTTTAGTATTTGAGCTTTATTGGGTACGACTCACTTCGAATATATGCTCTAGGCATATATAATTATATTCATTGATATCTGGATAATGTTATTGGTTGTGAAATATCATCATATTACAATAATTTATGTAGTATTATGTGATAATATCCATGAAGGCCTGTAGAACTTTGTATAGTATAAACTTCAATAATGGAAGTATTCTGGTCTACAGCAATGAATTTTATACGATTTTTGAAAACCTGCAGGACAAACAATTTGTTTGTAATATTTTTTGTTACAAGTTATTAAGTTTTGAAAAAATATAAAAAATAGAAATTAAAAATAGTTATTGAGTTGTAATTCTAGTAGGTGACGTATTGAAGGTTCCAAAAAGTTGGCACCTGATGACACCCATAATATTAACCTTCCAAGGAATCTGACGGAAAATAAGTATTTCTATTATTAATATTGAATAATGTCGCGATCATAAGAACTACGGACAAAAGATTTTTTTTCAATATGAATTTGCCTGAATATGCTTGAATTTTTTTTCACAACTAATTTTGAAAATAGTAAAAAAATGTAATTTTTGTAGTTTATTTTGAAGTATATGAAGAAGACACTGTTAAAAAATCAAGTAAGTCGGTTCTATAGATGTTGATAAATCGTGGGTATTGTATCGAAAGAGGCAGTTTCGAGAAAAACACGTTTTAAAGTTTTACGAAAGAAGGAAACAAATGAGGAATATCGCTATATTACTATAATAATTTGAATTTTGAAATATCTTCTTGTACACATATTCTTGAATGGTTAATCTTTGAAAATATCTAAAAAAACAACCGACTTTTTGAAAATGATAGACCTGTATACTAACTAACTCCTTAAGTTCGCATAGACTCTTCCAGGAAAATGTTATATGTTTGTAAGTGTACGGTGTGTTCGCGTGTATAAGGATCCATCAATCAATAATTTAAATCCAAGTATAATCGTGTTTTGACAAGATGGACTAAATCCTCTGTTTTCGATCTCTAAATACACGAAATATCCCTTTCAAGAGGATGCCAACGAACAGAGAGACTCTGCAACATGAAGCTGATGACTGAAACCCATCAACTTCAATTTGTCAATGCGAAACCTACTGTCACTCTACTAGCATCGGAGTCGAGCACTTTTAATAGAAATTTGAGAATATATATATATATATATATATATATATATATATATATATATATATATATATATATATATATATATATGTTAGAGAAGTTAGTTTTGATGTTGAGAAATATGAGTAAGTTCTTCAAGGGCATACATCAGATAAAAGGCAAAGATTTAGAAGTTAATCTTTAATTTTTATGTTAATCTTTAATAAACTACGTTCTCTGTGCAAAATATATTATATATTTCACAAATATTTTACTATGCTCTGTTCAACAAAATAATAATAAAAAAAACAAGTTAGTGTATATATAATAGTGCAAAATTATGTGCCTTGCGCTAGCTACTGATGTAAGACCATATTTATATCCACTGATGATGACATAAAATACTATGTCGAAACGTTTGGAAAAATTAAAGATTAACTTCTAAATCTTTGCCTTTTATTTGATGTATGCCCTTGAAGAACTTACTCATCATATATATATATATATATATATATATATATACCATAAAGCATTTCTTAAACACTAATACAACACATATACTAGTTTTTAAAAGCGTAACTTATAACTAATTTATTAGTCTCTTCCAAATCTGTAATTCTATAAAATAGAAACAGAAACATATTTTCTAATTAAATATTGAACAGCATATGTAATCATTTTTTACACAAATATTGAACTGAAATTATGTTTATATTTAACCACAATGTACTATTCATTAACTCAATTTGTTAATAGATTTAGGTGAATTTGGTAATATGCGGTAATTTACATAATTACCCTCAATACTGTTCGATGATGGATGGAAAATTATACATATTTCTATATTCTAAAATGATTTCAGTAGTTTTTGCGATCTTCTTGATTTAATAAAATACTTACTATTTAACAAATGTGTCGCTACACTTTTTAAAATATTTAGGCATATAGAAGTTTAGTATCACTTTATTAACTTCCCGTAGGGTAAGTTATTGTAATCGTCCAAAAATTTAAATTGAAAATTTTTACATTTCTCGACGTTTTAAATATTTCTGAACATTTTGGCATACCTCGGATGTGTATGTGTGTATGTATGTATGGATACAATTTTTCGATCACGTTTTCGGGCGCACGGATTAACCGATTTCAATGGTTCAAAAAAATTCGATTCATATTGATAGCGAGATGTGCTGATTAGTTTTTGGTAAAGGCAGGTCCAGCAGTTACGGAGATAAAGAGTAAAGAGTGCAGAAAATAGAAATCGAGTTTTTGAGAGAACGGAGCATCCGATTTGAATAATCTAAAAAACATTCAATTAGTAATGATTGGGAGAAGTAGGTATTAGTTTTTGGCAAAGGCTGGCCCAGCCATATTAAAGATATAGAGCTAAATGTGCAAAAAATGGCAGTTTTTGAGGGAACTAAGCGTCCGATTTAAATGATTCAAAAAACTTCTACAATATTTATAATAATCTATCTGACAACATTCAATATTCCTCGAACATTTTGTTACGGTACGGGAAGTTTCAGCAATTTGCCTTAAGGCACGATTCCATACAACCCACTAGTTTATTATTATAATTATCAGGGATATTTTTACTCATTTATTCCTGGAAGTATTGTTTCAAATTATTTCGTATGTGACTGCAATGACAGTATGAGTGGTCTTCCTTGTGTCATTTTTCCTTAGGGACTTTCACTTTTTATCGATTATAATTATATTAACATCATCAACGTACAATTGGATTTACAAATCATGCTGATTTGTCACGCTGTTCTTACGTAAAATTACAAAACGAGATCAACATTACAAGTTAAACCAAACTCGATCATTTTAAATTTCACCAATTGCTCGAATTATTCTGTAGAAACATGCTTTTTCAGCGAAATTATCCGGTAGTACAATATAAAACGAAACTATAAAACTAAACTAAAATAGCAGAGAGTTTTTCATAAAAAAACATAAACTGTATTGAAAATTCTTCACCAATTCAAGAGTGAAAAATGTGCGTGAGATGAAATAAAAAAATAAAAATTTATAAAAATGGAATATATGTTAATAACTATCTCTCAATAGAGCGATGTTAATAGAATAAGGATAAACGAGTTGAGTTTTTTTTAAAGATGCTATTTCTATAGATAAATTTTAATAATTAATGCATTTCAAGAGAAAATAATAA